TGAGCGATGACGCTGAGTTTGCTTTAGAAACACCCGCATTCTGCTTGCTTCCAATTCCTCACACACACCACTCGAACCCTCCGTTAAATAATCTTTCATAAAGTTTGGAAAGGTTGAAGCTGATTACAAGCACATTCGCGGGCTTCATTGCACCGGAAGCGCTGTGAGAGATGCGCGCTTTGTTTGACGTTACACTTGAAGAGTGCGGTCTCGCCCGTCGGTATTTTCCTTACAAAGGCTCTACGAAGTCATAATTTATGTGGTTTGGAATGCAGTGGACATATATATTTAAAACATGAACCTCACTAACAGAAGGCTGCTTTCAATTTAAAATGCTGACGCGCGCTTTGTTTGTGAAGCCTGCTCGCGACGCACATGCGGCTGTGCGTGACTCCATGTGAGTGGTTTAATGCACTTGCTTCTCAAAATGGTTTTATGACGCAAAATTAATGTAAACACAGCCAGTTATGTGACAAGGAATTAAACGGACAGGACAAACCATATTACTTCCGTGCGTGAATGCAGCTTAATAGATCTCCCGCTGTCTATGATGTCATAGTAAAAAACAACATTAAAGATGAAGAAAAATCACTCCCAGTTCTTGAATGGAAAACGTTCAGATAATCTTAAATACTGAAAGTACTTTGTAATATGTTTCTATGCTCCTCTTTATTATTTGCTACTTGCTTGTATGTTTTGAAGTTATATTAGTTTAAAATTACATTATTAATGATTAATAATTAATTATTATTAACATACAACCGTTTAAAAAAAAATTTTTTCAATTTGTAATTATTTTAAAAAGTACTTAATTACTTATGTAAGGATATGTAAATAAAATGATTTTAAAATTCTCAAGCTGGTAAACTAAGTAATTAATAAGGGAGAAAAAAGTAGATCAAGAATCGTTCTGGAATCGGATCGTGATTCCCAGAATCGGAATCGGATCAGATCGTGAGGTGACTAAAGATTCCCACCCCTAGTGACGTCTGAGGTGAGACTACGGAACACCTGGCGCCGAGACCTGGATGCAGAAGTCAAGCTGACAGGAATGGGATGGGGGCAGCTGGTGATGGTAGCACAGAACAGACAACGCTGGAGGGCTGTCGTCGATGGCCTATGCTCCAGGAAGGAGCAACGGGCCTAAGAAGAAGGGGAGAAGTGCTTCTGCAAACATTCTAATATTGCATATCATTTTCATAATCAGGGAGCCGCTATCAATATGCGGGTTATTTAAATCATTTTTGAATGAGTGCTCACATGCACAGAAATGAAATGGCACAATAACACAGCCACAATACGTAATGCTCACACACATACCAACCCCACCTCCAAAAATCAGCCACAGAAAATTAATAGGAGACTATACAAATTGCTTGCTGATATATTTGTCAAAATCAGCTATGATGCAGAACCCACACAGAAGCGAAGAAGTGATACAATAACACATCCACAATGGAGAACAAACACATTATGCAGACATATATCATAACAACACAATGTTCAGGTTTGACAGTAATAATCTGACAAAATTGCAAAAACATACTACCAAAAAAAAAAAAAAGAAGTCTGACCAAGAGTAGGGCTGCACGATAAATCGCATGCGATATTTAATGCGCATCTTGTCAGAAAGCCGGTTCTGTAATCAGCGGTAAATCTCCATCACCTGCGTGCTTTCACATTGAGCAGCATTAACTACACAGAGCCGTTGTTCACCGACGAGCTGTGCAAAACCACGTTCATATTCGCGTGATTTTTTGCGCAGCTCGTCAGAACCGGCTTTACTGATAAGATGCACGTTAAATATCGCATACGATTTATCGTGCAGCCCTAACCAAGATAAATTTTTATTGTTATAATAGTGATTTTATAATGTCTAAATATAAATCTAAATGAAAATTGTCTAAAAAGCTCTACCTATACGGAAAGGAAATAAATGAGCCGATGAGTGGTCCTTTGCAGCTATTTAGTGCCATTATTTGAAATTTCATGTTATTTTAATTTTAAAAAGTGTTTGTTTTCCAGTGGATGGTAGCAGTCTTCCTCTAAACCATGGTACATTTTTCATGAGATCACCATGAATGAGATTTGTTTTTACATACTATATGTCCAAACCTGCTTCTACAGTAACATTACAGTAAGCAATGTGTGTGTGTGTGTGTGTGTGTGCGCGTGTTTTTGAGACAAATGAGGACATAAATTTGTATAATGACAAAGTTATGACTGACCGGCTTTTGTTACAAACACAAACCGCATTGGTCTGTCAGTTTACAGATGCAAAGGCTTTCTGTCATGGGTAATCACAGAATAACACAGAGTGCCAGTCTAATATACGAAGGTGACAATTTGGTAGCAAGGCATCACACACACACACACTCGCTCGCTCCCAATCAGTGTCGTAATTTTCTCAGTGTTGATGCATAGATTAGATGATTTGAGATTGCAGATGCACACACACACACAACCTCAGATGAGATGATTGCGGTTCAGTCACAGTTTGACGTGGCCTTTTATCTCCGCATATTTTGCTCTCAGTATTTCCTCATTACGGCCTCACAAAGGTCAGTGTGCCTGTCAAAAATCTGTCCGCATCCTATCTTGATTAAGATCTAAAACCTCACCATGTTATTTGCGCGCGCGAGTGTGTGTGTGTGTGTGTGTGTGTGTGTGTGTGTTTAATCCACTCAGCCACTTAAAAGAAATTAAATATCACCTGTCACTCAGTTGACATTAAAATCGTTATTTAATGTCATCAAAGTTTACATAAGAATGAACTTCTGTCTTTTGCAGTCTCTCTCTCTCTCTCTCTTATATCTAATATAAGTCTGTTATTTGCTGCCAGTAACTTATCAAATTTAACATCACATACATGTGACAACCACTACTCTATCAGTATTATGCTATGAATGAGTCAAACTAATTTTCTTTCCTTAGTAATTTCTCTTCAAGCTGAGCAAATACATCACACACTAACGTCTTTAGCATATTTCATTTTGTAAAATTAAAGAAAGAAATGTCCCTTTCTTTCACTATCGGCTAGTGATGACTTTTAAGTTTTAAAAATTAAATGTGAAGAACAACATTTCACTGGGGACCTCTGAGAGGTCAGAGAAGAACATCAATCATCTCGACCACTGACTCACCAGGATTTCTTTTTTTTTTAATTATTATTATTACATTTAATGCTTAGAATATTCACAAAAAAATATTAAATACTCTTGGTACAAAAGTTCAAACTGACAAGATAACTTGTTATTGATGCTATCATTTACATTTATTCATTCAGCAGATGCTTTTAACCGAAGAGATTTACAAATAAGACACATCGCAAGCAATTTGTCATAAGAGCCAACAATAATTGTTGTACACTATGCCAATTTAAAAGTATACATTAGACTGGTACTTAAGATAGATACTTTCATTAGGGCTGTACAGTACATTTCACCTTTCACACAACCACTCTTTCAAAACATTTCATTGTGACATGTAATGAGAACATTCGGCTTAATCAGCAAAACACAACATAATGTTCTTTTTCCAACTGGTAACTTTAAAAATCTGTTAATTTAAACCATGAGACATGTGTTTGAAATTTGATTTGCTGGATGAAAAATATGAAAGTATACAGTCATCATTAGGAAACACACATTACCTGACCAAATTGACATAAAATCCATAAATCCAATGTGTTAACACGATCAAAGGAGATATAACACTGTTGTGAGGTTTTGTGTCAATTCAAACAGTATAACCTAATTACTGTATGAACTTGCACTAATGTATACAGTAATGCTATTTACCTTAGCCAACAATGTACTGTTTTTCTTGACAAAATGCTCTTACACTCTGAAAGAATTGATACTGTAGTTAATCTTTTCAGTACAGTATTACTGTACAGTACAGTATTTTTTTCAATACAGTAGTTACAGTAATTTAGTATAGCCTCTGCCACGTGGCACCTTTAAAAAAATGGCCTGGATTTTATTTGAACTTCATTGGACATCATTGATAAGTTTCCTGCCTTCTGTCTCCTTTCCTGTGATGCCCACCTCTTTAACAGGACCCATGGCTACCTCTTTGACCTCTCTGATGGGTCTCTCACAAAATCATTGATTAGTTCCTCTCTATTGCATTCTATCATGCTCTGCAGTATGTTGACAAATTGCAAGTGCTCTCTCTCTCTCTCTCTCTCTCTCTAACACACACACACACACACACACACACTGAACGTACTGTATAGTACAGTAAACCATATAGCCAACTTGCCATATGAGATAAATAATTATAAAGATAAAGATAAATAAAATGCAATAATATATAATAAAAACAAATTTTATATCCTGTTTTGAACATGTAATTTACAAAATAAAACAAAATAAACTAGTTGCAAATAGGTATACCAAATTATTTGTACTATATTAAAATAAAAACAGATGCAAATTAAATATTTTATGTCAGTTTAATTCTGAAAGGCAATTAATTTAAATAAAAGGTATGTCTAGATAAAATATTTGGTGGAAAACATTCGTAACGGGTTTTCAAATTATTTAAAACCACAATGGCATTGTTACAACAGTGACACCAAGCGAGCAAAGATGCCGAAAGCCATAGTTTCTTCACAGTTCACGGTGCTTTTCCACCACTGAACAACGTTGTTCCTGACAACGACTAGTACTATAAAATCAAATAAATGCATTTTCCCCTCAGAGTACATAACATGTAATGCCCATCACATGTTTGCCCAGGTTATATAGCTCCTGTTGTCTGTTCAGAGACGCGTAAAGATGAAATGCTTGAAATGCATACAATCTCGCTACGATCTGATTTAAAATGTTCATTGTAACGAAAACGACGCTAAAAGGTGGTAGGGTACTTCAGCAGTCAGTTCTTCTCTCCGTCGGATTCTCTCCAAGGGCGGGGCGGCGCTCCATCAGTTTAATGTTGTCAGAACGTGGATAGTTGAGTCCCGGGCGGGCAGGGCGCGCGGTGTTTCGCTCGGGTGGAGAGAGCGCGAGGATGCTGAGAGAGACGCCCGTGAGAGGACGAACAGGTCGCACGGATGTAAGAGACGGTGATGGTTACTTCAAACTCACAACGGGATGGGTCTCTTCTTCAAAGCCGCAAACAAATGAGCTGTAAGAGGAATTGCGCGGAAAAGAAAAAGATGCGAACGGGATTAAAATAAGAACACAAGGCAAGAAGAAACAGAGTCGGACCTGCAATTAACTTACAGTGAAATTAAAAAGAGAATATTCGCGAAGACGCGCGTGGACGATTTATTGGATAGCAGACCGTTTTCTAAATCAATATGCATAACTTAAGCGTTGCAAGCGAAGTGGACACTTACATTGACAATGGTTTTATATCCTCTGGGAATTCTACAAGTCGCTATTCTCCGGCCACCATTATAGGACTCGCGGGGCTGGTGAGCTTCCTCATCTTGTTTACAATAGTGGGGAATGTGCTGGTCGTTATCGCCGTTTTAACGAGCAGAGCGCTCAAGCCACCACAAAACCTTTTTCTTGTGTCTTTGGCCAGTGCGGACATTCTGGTGGCCACCCTGATAATCCCTTTCTCTCTGGCCAATGAATTAATGGGCTACTGGTTTTTTGGGAAAGTGTGGTGTGATATATATCTAGCACTAGATGTTCTTTTCTGCACATCATCTATTGTTCACCTGTGTGCCATAAGTCTGGACAGGTATTGGTCTGTAACACAGGCGGTCGAGTATAACTTAAAGCGGACACCTCGCAGGGTAAAGGGCATGATTGTGGTGGTATGGTTGATCGCGGCTGTAATCTCCTTCCCACCGCTCATCTCCATGGACCGGAATAACGAGGGTGACAGACGCGAACCACAATGCCAGCTGAATGACCACACGTGGTACATCCTGTACTCCAGCATCGGTTCATTCTTTGCCCCGTGTGTCATTATGATCCTTGTTTACATCCGAATCTACCAGGTGGCTAAGAAAAGAACCCGAAATATGTCTGAAAAGCGCCGTGATCCGGATGGAGGATCAGGAACACCACGTCTGGAGAACGGCTTGAGCCGTGAGGATTCCAGGCGGGAAAATGGGCACTGTGCCTCGCCACCACCAGGTGAGGATGACCCAGATGCCGAACTGGAGGACAGTAGCTCATCTGATGAGAAGGCCAAACGGACACAAAACGAGATGGTGCCCTCACGAAAAGACCGCCGATCCAGCCGCAAGAACAGCTCCAGTTCCAAGCATTCCAGCCGAAAGTCCCGAGCCAGCAACAAGTCCCTAGACTTGTTTTCTTCCCGCAGAAAAAGGAGGAACACCATTTCGAGAAAAAAAATTTCCCAGGCACGAGAGAAGCGGTTCACCTTTGTGCTGGCAGTGGTCATGGGGGTGTTCGTGGTCTGCTGGTTTCCGTTCTTCTTCAGCTACAGCCTGTATGGGATCTGCCGGGAGCCCTGCGCCATCCATGAGACCCTTTTCAAGTTTTTCTTCTGGATTGGTTACTGCAACAGCTCCCTCAACCCTGTCATCTACACCATCTTCAACCAGGACTTCCGGCGAGCTTTTCAGAAGATCCTGTGCAAGTCCTGGAAGAGATCTTTTTAGAGAACACAGGCAGCTAGTTTGCAACATCCAGTGCCATTCACAGGTGATTGACAAGGAAGAGAAATTTTCAAAAACACCACTGCCTCTCTCTCTCTTTGCATTGACAATCTGTACACAACAACACTGATATTTTTTCTTACTTCGTTGTGTAATGCTGTTCATGAGTCTGTGAGGACAACAGATGCTGGTCACATAGGTGGTACCAAAAGCTAAAATGCTTAAACAAACAAACAAAAAACATTTGAATTGGGAAGCTCTGTACTGCATTAGAGGAAACAGGCTTATCTTTATTATGGCTGCAGGCACTCTGAAGTTATCAAGAGATATTTTTATGATGAGTTTTCACATATGGCTTGTGTCATTGTGACTAGAGAGCTATGTAACATGAAAGGCTGTATCCTTTTATGTGGTGACAAAAAAAAGAAAAAACTAGAGAAGAGAATTACCAAAAAAGTGTGCTTTTTCTTTCCAGCTGAGAGATACAAAACGGACACTGTTGGTTAGGGAGCATGAGAAGGCTGTCACCAGATGACAGATGGATGAAGAGTGTTGCCCTGATGTGCTTGGGTATTGCATTTTTCGTCCTAAGGGTGCAAAGTCCTGACTGATCAGAGCTCTATTACAAACTGTTCTTAACTGTCCTTCAGTGAAATTAATTACTGTACTGCTGCTCTCTAACATGCCATAAAAAAGTATACAGAAGAGGTACTTGCTGAACTAGACTTAAAGGCACAATATGTAATTTTTTGCGCGTATTCAAAACAAACAAAGGCGTAGTTAGATGACGCCGTGACTGGGTGTGGAATCATGGGAGTTATCGTCTTCATCCCCACAGCCAAAGCAATCCGATGGGACTCAGGCAGAAATCATGTTCATGGATGAGCTAATGTATTAAAGATTTATTAATGTAGTAGAATGAAGCAGGGTGAGGCTGAAAGCCGTCGAAGCGAAACGAGGCCGCTGAACGAGTGTGACACACGGCTCGAAAGCAGCGGAGCTTTTATTATGCCACAGTCGACCGCTTCCGCTCCTTCCGGTCGTGCGTATGTGCGGAAAAAAAAGCAGCGCTGTTTTATCATACTAGATACAAATATATAAAACTGTTCTAGTGGTTTTTGGATATTTTAATAAAAATATCTTACATATTGTGGCTTTAAGAAACACTGTAAGTGGTTTTTCAGTGATGATGATAAATAATGATACATTTATTTATATACAGGATTAATTTATCAGATTATAAATTATTTAAGCTTTGTGGCTATGCTTGTACAGTGTATCCCATTTGTTCAAAATATCATAGTGATATAATGCAAAGTATGATATAAAAGGCTGTTGTACATTTTTAACAGCAAAACAACTTTTTTTTGGTTGTTTTTGTATATTACGAAACATCTGTCTTTATGGATGTTGGGCTTCTCTCCTTTTCTATTCCATATACTTGTGATATCTCCAAAATGACTGACAGGTCAATACAAGCACAGCTGATGATCAAACAAAAATGAACAAATAAATGTATTGTGCTTCTCTTGGATTTGCTTTTTACTGTGAACAGAGTCTGGGCTTAATTTTTTACTCTTCATGTCTCTAAATTGGGCTTATCATAATTAGAAATGACTGTGATTAAATATTGTTTTGTCATTTTGCAGATACAATGCTCAATTCAGCATATTGATGCTTCAGCGTGACTCAGATGACTATACAGTGCTGCACAGTACTGTTAGTTAAGCATTATGCCAC